AGAATGCTTTCCCTCTGGAGAATTAACACATTTGACCAATAAGATTTTTTTTATTTATAACTCCTTAGATTTTGTAATGAATATAAAGGAATTGCTGAAATACACAAACTGCTGTTTATTGAAGCCATGTACTTGTCTTTGTGCTATACGATAAAATTTGGAAGACAAGTTTTATTCTTGATATGCCAACATTTTCGAATAGTCCTGCCAATGTCAAGGTAATGAAGGTAACCTGTATATGAATCCGTTTTATTTTACTTAAAGAACACAATCGGCAACACAGAAATCCTCTAATACTGGACTGTGGTCACACTTTCTGTGAGGGATGTCTGACTAAGATGGCCAGAGAGACAAAGACCTCGGTGTCATGTCCAACATGCAAGGTTAGTTTCAGAAAAAAACTTTGATGCTTTTCTTGGTCAAATTCAATGTATCACACTGATAGGCATGATTGAAAATTGATTTTAATGTATGATATAAAACATTGAAAGTTTGTTGAATTTGACAATTTGTACAGAACAATACAAACATCTGTATTGTAAGCTAGACACAGGAACTCAAACCTCATAATCTTGAACTTGTTAATAAATTGAGCTGAAAGAAAGATTTTCAAGAGATAATACTTAGAGTAAAAATAGAAAGATTTCAATTTTAATTTACTTTGAAATATCCAAGGTATGTAATAAATTCAAGTTTTACATGTATAGACCAGGGTTTAGCTGTAAATAAATTAGAGTTTAGCAGTGAATTGATATTATGGATTGTAATATGTTTCAGGCAGTGACACAATTACCACAGGGAGAAGCCAGTGTTAAGAATCTGTGGCCAGATGTCTATGTAACAGGATGGATGTTGTGTCAACAGAGGGCGCTGCTCAATCAGTAAGTCTCAATCTTTACTGAACTTTGCATTTGAATTTGAAAAAATAAGTTACCCTTTTGTGATGAATAGAAATTAATACAATAAATGATTCAGTTTATTAGTCTTGAACTTTCCTACAGTATTAATTTTCCCAATATAAAGTATTTTTTTCTCCAATATATTGTAGTGTTTTCCCCTTATTTCAAAGTAAAAGGTTAGAGATCAGTTGTAATAGGCTAGGGGCTGAGGTCTACGAACAAAATCACTTAGGACCTTACAACAAATTTTTATTTCAAAGCTGCATTTTTAGCTCACCTCAACGAAGTTGGGGGAGCTTATGTAATACCCTCAGCGTCGGCGTCGGTGTCCCGGGTTAAGGTTAAGTTTTTTGGAGCAGTTTTCTTTTTAAGTACTTCTATGTCCTATATTGATTAGACATGCATGGAAGATGTTTTTAGTGTGTTTCATTGTACCAGTCAAAGTTTCAGATGCTGCAATTTCAGCAAAGAAATAACCAGGTTAATGTTTTTGGAGCAGGTTAACATTTTTGGTGCAGTTTTTGGTGTAGGTCTCATTTCCGAGTAACTATAAGCCCTATGTTGACCAAACTTGCATGGATGGTACATCTTAGGATGCACACTACTAGACTTGCTTCGGATGCTGAATCTGACCTACATTTTACGAATGAGTGAACAGCTTTATGTTTTTGGTGCAGGTCTCATTTCCAAGTAACTATTAGCACTATAGTGACCAAACTTGCATGGATGATGATACATCTAAGGATGCATACTACCAGACTTGCTTCGGATGCTGAATCTGACCTACATTTTCTGGTTGAGTGAACAGGTTAAAGTTTTGGGTGCAGGTTTCATTTCCAAGATACTATGAGCCCTATAATGACCAAACTTGCATGGATGGTACATCTTAGGATGCATACTACCAGACTTGCTTTGGATGCTGAATCTGACCTACATTTTCCGGTTGAGGAAATAGCTGAAAGTTTTTGGTGCAAGTTTCATTTCCAAGTTACGATGAGCCCTAGATAATGACCAAACTTGCATGGATGGTACATCTTAGGATGCATACTACCAGACTTGCTTCGGATGCTGAATCTTACCTACATTTTCTGGTTGAGTGAACAGGTTAAAGTTTTTGGTGCAGGTTTCATTTCCAAGTTACTATGAGCACTATAATGACCAAACTTGCATGGATGGTACATCTTAGGATGCATACTACCAGACTTGCTTCGGATGCTGAATCTGGCCTACATTTTCTGGACGAATGAACAGGTTAAAGTTTTTGGTGTAGGATTCATTTCCAAGTAACTTTGAGCCCTATAATGACCAAACTTGCATGGATGGTACATCTAAGGGTGCATTCTACCAGGCTGGCTTCAGATGCTGAATCTGACCTACATTTTCTGGATTAGTGAAAAGGTGAGTTTTTTTATACAGGTTTCATTTCCAAGTAACTTTGAGCTCTATGTTGAGCAAACTTGCATGGATGATACATCTTAGGATGCACACTAATGGACTTGATTCAGATGCTGAATTCGATATACATTTTCCAGATAATGGACCTTTTTAAAAGTTATGGGTGCAGGTCTATTACCAAGAAACTATAAGGCTTATATAAACCAAACTTGCACAAATCATGCATCAAGGGATAAACACTCTCAAACTTGCTTCAGATGCTGGATTTTAATTACGTTTTCATGATGGAGAACTAGTTTGAAGTTTTTATATAGGTCTATTCCAAAGTATCAAATCAAAATTGCATAAATTTTGCATTTTTGTATGTACACTTTTTGTTGGTTAATTGTGTGACTTTGCCTTACTTAAAGACAACATTCATTGAGGTGAGCTCTGTAATCTCTGATTACCTATGTTTGTCAATTGAAGCGTTCAATTTGGCCGGTAGCCGGTTCTTAGGGAAAACACTGTATTGGGAGGCTTTCTAACTTTTGACAGTATAAACTTTTAACAGAACTTTAAAGCCTCATAGAAAATATCCTTAGTATGATATTAAAATGGTTTGGTTGAAGATATTTTCTTTTTCTTATTTTACTTGTGGCTTTTATTGCTCCAGAGAACTTGAGAAGTTATCCCCAGCAGGAATGGTACAGAACACTGGGTTCAGGACTGCCCCAGATAAAGGAGGTAGCTCAATAAATCAGGCTCAACTTAAATTCAATTTTCCCATTTTAAAACTCATTGATACAATGTGTTTTGAGTTCACACATCTGTATTGCTTTATTCTAAAACAACTTCAGAAAAAGGGAAAACGATTAGCAAAAAAGTGAGAATAATTTTGGTTGAATCTGTTTTGGATGAACTGTCTTATTTTAAACCATTACTTTATGGCTATACATCTTTTTGCAGAGAGGGAAAAAATGTGCCGAGAGTGTTTTCGGAGATTAGCGATGTGTCGATGTGACAAGTGTGATGTCATCATGTGTCATGGATGCTTTGAAAAGGTACAAGTAAGGGAAATACATCAAAATAAACAGAAAAGGTTCAGTTTGCATGTACATCTAGATGTTGCATTAAATTACATGTGTAAGAAAGATTCAATCTGCATCCAGTTTAATGGTCCAGAAAAATGTCATTAGTTGTAATGATAAATACATTGATGTATACAATTTACATGTTTTTATACGCCCGTCTTACGACGGGATATGTTATAGGCTTCGTGTCCGTCCGTCTGTCTGTTAGCTTTTTCGTTTCCGGCTCATAACTTTAATACTATTAGGCCTAGGATTATCAAACTTTGTCATCTGATGCATCTTGGGTAGAAGGTGTGTCGCGCACAAAAAGTAGGTCGCTCTGACCTTTTATTAAGAAGTTATAGCCAAATATGGAAAAATCCTTTCCGGCCCATAACTAGAAAACTATAAGACTAACAATCATCAAACTTGGCCAGTTTATGCATCTTAGGTAGAAGGTGTGTTGCGACCTATTTCAAGGTCACTGTGACCTTTAATTTAAGTGAAATTAAAAAAAAAATGTGTCTTTTTACTATTCATTTAAGCATCCCAAATAATGTAAGAGTATTGCTCTCTCCCTATTAAAAAAGTGTTAAATCAAGAAAATACTTATTTTTTTAAGCATATACTTGACAGCAATCTATAACAAATATAATGTATGTTAGAGAAATCCTACCTCTCCCTTGAGTGTAATTATCGAGCACTGGTCAAGAAAAATTTCGATAACAGAAAATTGCATGTCAAATTAGAGAGAAATTAATGAGTTTTGAGTGTGAGGATCTAACTGATAGAACATCAGTGTTATCTACATCCCTTGGGTATTGGGCAGATGGGTAAGCCTGTTGGATTAAAAATAGCTCTTGTTGGCTTTAAAATGAATTTGATGAAAAGTAATTAAAACTAATTTGATATTGCATAATAGACTAATCTGACATTATATAATATTATTAATTTAAAAACTAATTTTAAGGGGTGGGGTGGAATCAGCATTTCCATATGAATTACATATTAATACCTGTAGGAAATTAAATCTCAACCAAAAAAAATCGTTGAATATTTTATATGTTTAGAAAAAAATTTATGGTAGATAGTGCAGACCCATTCATCTCTTGGTAGTAATGAGTAGACAAGCATCCAGTTAAAGATTAATTAATGAGTTCAATGTAGGAAGGCTAGCTGATCAAGCGGCTTATCTGTATCCTTTGGGGATTAGACAAAAGAAGTGCTGGTCAGTTTATAGCATATGTCATTTGATGGCCAGGCCTTTTCTTTTCAAAATTAATTTGGTATAGATTAAGATGTTAAGACTAATTTGATATTGTTTAATATGATGGGCATTTGACAAGGTCTAACACAACCAGCATAGAAATCTATTAATGATGTAATATTTATTATAATTAATGCCTAGATAACAGGAAATGGATAAATATTTGAAGGAATGGAAAAATCATGGAAATCTTGGAATCAAGGTTGACGTGATTTTCTTGCACACTAAAATGTTCAAGAAAATTGTATTTTTTTTGACGGGCGTATCATGCTGTGGCGCGGCACTTTATTGTAAATCTCCTGTAGGTCCATTCTAAGTCCAATACTTTAAAACAGCACCAAGCACTTCCAATGGAAAGTGAGGACAGGTATATAAAGTTCTCGAGTACTCTTTTGAATTTATAAAATATTCCATAAAAATGTTTCACCAAAAGTATTTAAGATGTAATCTTTTTTATAAGTGAGTTAATATGATAATGTTTTCTGTATAATGTATAATTTTAAATAGGTATTAGTGCAAATTATTAAGTAGCATATATTGGTATGAATATATAAAATATCTACCAACAGGGCACTCTATAATGTAGACAGTATAAATGGTTTACATATTGCTTTTGCAGTTTAAAAGGGGAGTTAACTCAGGATTGTCCACTGCATGAAGGGAGAGAACTGGAATATTATTGTGAAGATGACAAAATGCCAATCTGCTCCAAGTGTGTGATATTTGGGAATCACAAGGATCATGTCATTACATCTATGGAAGAAAAGGTATCTCGTGTCTTAGTTGGTTTGAACATATTTTATTGTATAAATACTATACAAATAGTTTGAACACAAGTTCTGACAACTTACAAGGTTCTCACCATAAAATGCTACAGTACAACTGTCTATGTTTATAAATTAGGAAAAAAAAGGAAAAATGATATTGATATATAAACATGTTTGTTTAAAATATACATTCTTTACACATGATAAATATATATACCTACTAGTGTCTAGAGTTTAAGTGTTAAGCTGCGATAATTAATCAAATCTACCAGAATCTCTTATAAATTTTTGAACTGATTGAAATATATATTTATTGATAGTGTCTTAGTTGGTTCTAGTTAGTTTAAATGAAGAAAGCAAATTCAAAAACTCTTTCTTTAACACCCTTCCCCGCAGTCACGCATTTTAACGCATATACCATTTCCTATTTCTAACGCAAATTCATGCATTTACCGTTTCCCCGCAATCACGCATTTTCACGCACTTTAAAAAGTTCATTTAATCTTCAATTTATTGCCAAATTCCAACCTATTTATACTTGCTTGAATCTCAAAAAATAAGAAAAGTTATTTTCTATTTAAAATATTATTTCAGAATATTATTTACGCTAAACTTTACTAAAGTCTTTAGAGAAATTTGTACCCCGCTATAAAGTGCTTGCGGGGAAATGGTAAAGTAATATTTCTATGACGCGAGGATTCAATGTATGTTGCATAGCAATTCTGTAAGTTGTAAAGGGTTAAGGCTTTCTGTAGGTGCTGCTTAATGAAATGAAGTTATGTATTGTTTGAGGAAGTTAGCCAGTGTCTTCATATTTACAGAACAAAACAGTTTTCTCTGAAATGGAGCCAGCTTTGCATCTTGCCAACAAAGTTGTAAGAAAATTGATTAAAGTTGACAAGGTAATTTTTATTTCTGTTTTATTGATAAATGAAAAAACCTACACAATAGAAATTTTAAGTATTTAGCTAAACCTTTCTTATGTAGTTTTCTATTAATGACCATTCCTATTTCATATCATACTTCAAAATCTCTCCTTCTGTGTTCTTTGTATGGATACCCATATAAATTAAACTGGAAGAGATCAAAGTTTTAAAACCAGTACATTGTATATGTGTAGGCATGTCTTATTTGTTGTTTTACAGACAGTGACAGATTTTTTCCCTGATACAAAAGTGGAGACAGCTGCTGTGATATATGAGATCAGAGAACACTTCCAAGAATTACATGGACTTCTCCAGGCCAGGTATGAATGGTTTTATGTATTTAATATCTTCTTATACTCAGAGATCAATAATTGCATATTATGTCTGAACAAATGTGCTTATTTTGATATTGTTTGCTTTTAAACATTAATTTACAAAATTAATGAAAATACATGTATATAATTTTATGATTTTACTCATGTCTATACATGTATTATTAGTTACACAGTCAGTTAGTGACCTAATACGGATTCATACAGGGTGTGAAATGGAAATCCGGATTGGGCGAGGCGAAGCCGAGTCCCAATACGGATTTCCATTTCACACCCTGTATGAATCCGTATTAGGTCACTGACTGTGTAACGAATTTATCCCGCTGAAGACCTTTTTCAATATAAAAAAAATATTTGTGCATATTGTGAAAATATTAAGTTTTAATCCAATAAAAATCAACATAAAATGTCGTTACGGTAACAAGAAATGTAACTAAACTACCTACGTAAACCGTTTCTTAGCCGCCATTTTTATTTACAATAACAACGCTTCGAACGGAATCGCGTGCCCGATTTTCATATTACGCCTCGACGGAGACGTAATACGGAAAATTTCAGGGCGTCACGTGATGAACTTTTATCCAATCAGTAATCGACAAATTTGTCTGAAGCGGGATAAAATTTCATATTGATTGGATAATCATATTAACGAGTTGTACATAGAGTGTGCATGTATTTCAGAGAGAAACAGCTGATTGACGAAGTGTTTGCTGCATACAGAGAAGGAGTAGAACCTCTGGAAAATCTGGTATAGATAATATCATCACAAACAAGAAACAGAGTATTTAATTTCTGGTAGACGTATAAATTGGAGACAATCAAAATCTCAGCCATATTTAGTAGGATTTATTATGGAAAATAGATGCCATGTGGGTTCCTTCCTGAACCTAACTGTACAGTCCATAGCAAGGCAACTTTTATGCTTGAGATGAAAAAAAAATGTTTTTAATTAGTCTGTACCAAGAATTGAATAACACATGATAGATTTAAGCATCTGATATTAGAAGAAAATCATTATGTTGCCATTTGTTTTCAACAGAGACAGCAGATGCAGGATGAGAGAATGAAGTTGGAGGTGGCCATTAGAGGTTAGCAATATGATCACAAGTCACATAAGCATAAGTATTTGCCAATTAAGTTGTGTGACTTTAGCATGCTATGAAAAGGTAAGTTTGCATTAAAATAAAGTTTCTTTCAAAGAAGACAAGCTTCATTAATTTCAGTACTGTCTTTTCTCAGTGTCATTACATGTTATATTACAAAAGAGATGTATAGCAAAACAAGCTTATAACAAAGTTCCAGGGGCAGACAAATTTGCTTCTTTATAAGCGTAATTTGTTCCATCCGTTAAGTTTACAATATATTTAAAGTGGAGGACTGAAAATCACTTTGCTGTTAAAGTCAATTCATTATAAGCATGTTTAACTGTATATAATTGCTTTCTTTATGTTGCAGCTGCTCAAAGAGTGTTGAACAATAATAATGAAGTAACGTTGAATGCTAAACAGATTCTGGATCGCTTAAATCAAGCCAAAGAGATTCCCTGTATCATTCTACCCAAGGAAACAGAGACAACTGAAAAAATCAGGTGGGAATGCTGGTCATGACAAGTTGCCTATTAATATTTAAGCTGTGTCCTTAATACTTTACTGATATTAGTGTATGAATGTAAAGCACTTTTATCTATGGTAAAAAATGTGTTGTTTTTATTTTTTATTAACTCACAAATTTTAGAGCCTAGAAACTTTGGTAAATACAGTAAAAAACGAAGTTACTGGGACCTAAGATATTACTTTGCTATATCTTTAATTCGTTATATGGATAAGAAATTCACCAGATTTATTTAGCTGGGAATACAAGATAACTTCGCTCTATCCGTGAATTCTCAATATCCGTGTTTGTACTAAACAAATTTTACTGTATATTATTAGTTACACAGTCAGTTAGTGCCCTAATACGGATTCATACAGGGTGTGAAATGGAAATCCGTATTGGGCGAGGTGAAGCCGAGTCCCAATACGGATTTCCATTTCTCACCCTGTATGAATCCGTATTAGGTCACTAACTGACTGTGTAACGAATTTATCCCGCTGAAGACCTTTTTCAATATAAAAAAAAATATTTGTGCATATTATGAAAATACTAGTTTTAATCCAATAACAATCAACATAAAATATCGTTACGGTAACAAGAAATTTAACTAAACTACCTACGTTAACGGTTTCTTAGCCGCCATTTTTATTTACAATAACAACGCTTCGAACGGAATCGCGTGCCCGATTTTCATATTACGCCTCGACGGAGACGTAATATGGAAACGGAGACGTAATACGGAAAATTTCAGGGCGTCATGTGATTAGCTTTTATCCAATCAGTAATCGACAAATTTGTCTGAAGCGGGATAAATGATTATGCACATTTACATATAGTTCATGATTTCATTGCAGTTTCATTGAAGATGATTCCTTTGCAACCTCCATTCTCAGTCATGGAAAAATAGCAGGGAAAAGTCAAGTCAGGTAAAAGTAACCATGAAGAAAAAGATGGCAAAATTTATATTAAAAAATGTTCTGACGGAGAAGGTAAGCTCCAAATTAAGTAACTAATAAATTTTACAACTCTCTGTTTCTAGAGCTACATGGCACACTTTAGCTGAGATGCCTGCGGAGATAATGAATGATGACGACAGCGTAGGAAGTCGTACCCCTGTAGACACTGTCAGTGTGGTGTCCACGCCCTACTCCCAGGAGTCAGAGGAGGTCATCATTGAAGGTCAGCTATAAATAGATATCGCTCATTTCAGAATGAGTTTCGAGTTCTCATGGTTTGATTTATTTGATAACTGTAGAAGTACTTTTTTCCACGTGGTATTAATTTACGCCATGTACGCAGTCACAAATTTTCCGCGGAAATTTGACAAAGCGTACTTAATATAATTGCAAGGCATATAATGCCAGTCTGAGAAATCCACGTAATTTTTTACACACGGATTAAACTGAAATTGAGATTCCATGGAATTATGACCCCATAAAGAAAAGTACACCTACAGTATGTTAATTTTTTTTATGAGATTAATAATTATTTATGTAAAGTTGCAAACTGTAAATGTTTTTTATTTAGTGTGTACATGTACAATAAGTGCTTCTCATAATTACTGATTGTATTTATGCATGACATTCAGTAATGTAATAGATTTATTAGAAACTGCTTTAAATTTCTGCCAAAGGTGCTAAAAAGCCAATGGTGAATGTTTGTATTGAATATGCAAAAAAAAAAAAAACAACAACAACAAAACAACTTATTAGACAAGGTTAAAAAAAGACTATCAGAGAATGAGAGGGAGGGAGAGAAAGACATGTTTGACATGTTAGATAACTGTTCTTCCATCATAAGGCCAGGTAAAATTAATCTTTAGATTCTCATCCTAATTTGCTAAGAAATTGGGGCGGGTGGGCGGATTTTATTCTTTATTTTTAGCTCACCTCGACGAAGTCGAGATGAGCTTATGCTATACCCCCGGCGTTGGCGTCGGCGTTAGCGTCGGCGTCCCAGGCTAAAGTTTTAGGAGCAAGTCCATTCCCAAGTAACTATAAGCCCTATCTGAACCAAACTTGCATGGATGATGCATCTAGGGATGTACACTACCAGACTTGCTTCGGATGCTGGATCTGACCTACATTTTCTAGATGAGTGACCAGGTTAAAGTTTTTGGAGCAGGTTAAAGTTTTTGGAGCAAGTCCATTCCCAAGTAACTATAAGCCCTACCCAGACCAAACTTGCGTGGATGATGCATCTAGGAATGTACACTACCAGACTTGCTTCGGATGCTGGATCTGACCTACATTTTCCAGATGAGTGACCAGGTTAAAGTTTTTGGAGCAGGTCTATTCTCAAGGAATTATAAGCCCTACCTGAACCAAACTTGCATGGTTGATGCATTTTAGGGATGAACACTACCAGACTTGCTTCGGATGCTGGATCTGACCTACATTGTCTAGATGAGTGACCAGGTTAAAGTTTTTAGAGCAGGTCCATTCCACAGGAACTATAAGCCCTATTTGGACCAAACTTGCATGGATGATGCATCTAGGGATGGACACTACCAGACTTGCTTCGGATGCTGGATCTGACCTACATTTTCATTCCCAAGTAACTATAAGCCCTACCTGAACCAAACTTGCATGGATGATGCATCTAAGGATGGACACTACCAGACTTGCTTCGGATGCTGGATCTGACCTACATTTTCATTCCTAAGTAACTATAAGCCCTACCTGAACCAAACTTGCATGGATGATGCATCTAGGGATGGACACTACCAGACTTGCTTCGGATGCTGGATCTGACCTTTATTTTCATTCCCAAGTGACTATAAGCCCTACCTGAACCAAACTTGCATGGATGATGCATCTAAGGATGGACACTACCAGACTTGCTTCGGATGCTGGATCTGACCTACATTTTCCAGATGAGTGACCAGGTTAAAGTTTTTGGAGCAGGTCTATTCTCAAGGAATTATAAGCCCTACCTGAACCAAACTTGCATGGTTGATGCATTTTAGGGATGAACACTACCAGACTTGCTTCGGATGCTGGATCTGACCTACATTGTCTAGATGAGTGACCAGGTTAAAGTTTTTAGAGCAGGTCCATTCCACAGGAACTATAAGCCCTATTTGGACCAAACTTGCATGGATGATGCATCTAGGGATGGACACTACCAGACTTGCTTCGGATGCTGGATCTGACCTACATTTTCATTCCCAAGTAACTATAAGCCCTACCTGAACCAAACTTGCATGGATGATGCATCTAAGGATGGACACTACCAGACTTGCTTCGGATGCTGGATCTGACCTACATTTTCATTCCGAACTATCTATTATCCCTTCGTGAACCAAACTTGCATGGATGATGCATCTAGGGATGGACACTACCAGACTTGCTTCGGATGCTGGATCTGACCTTTATTTTCATTCCCAAGTGACTATAAGCCCTACCTGAACCAAACTTGCATGGATGATGCATCTAAGGATGGACACTACCAGACTTGCTTCGGATGCTGGATCTGACCTACATTTTCATTCCCAAGTAACTGTGAGCCCTATTTGGACCAAACTTGCATAGAGGATGTATCTAGGGATGGACACTACCAGACTTGCTTCGGATGCTGGATCTGACCTTTATTTTCATTCCCAAGTAACTGTAAGCCCTAGCTAAACCAAACTTGCATGGATGATGTATCTTAGGATGGACACTACCAGACTTGCTTCGGATGCTGGATCTGACCTACATTTTCATTCCCAAGTAACTATTAGCGCTAGCTAAACCAAACTTGCATGGATGATGCATCTGAGGATGGACACTATCAGACTTGCTTGGGATGCTGGATCTGACCTATATTTTCCATACAAGAGACCAGGTTAAAGTTTTGGGAACAGATCAATCCGAATGAACTTGAAGTCTTTGATATCTGCAGTTTTAACAGTTATGAATATTTGTTTACACAATACATGTTTTTCACACTAAACGCATAGAAATGTATATATGCCATGTAGAGGGTTAAGCACAACTTGCAAGAATATTGTTGTTGGGATGAACACTTAATATTAAGAAAATATGATGTAGGATTTGCATTACTTAAACTGATAACATTCGTCGAGGTGAGCTTCGTAATCTTTGATTACCTATGTTTTATAATTGTTAATTTATATACAGGCCTAAGTATCAACCAAACAATGGACGCCCCGTACACATTTTTTTTCATTACCTTACTGCCAATATGAATAGATTTAATTCTTTTCATATTCTTTTAAATATTTAAAGAAAATTTTTGCTTTAAAAATTAGATATTTATTGTTAATTAACAAATTATCAAGTACACATTATACGGCACACCCTGAACAAAATGGGGTGGGGGTACTAATAAATTGTGTATGCGTGACAGTATTTTGCAAAATCTATATAAATGTTCTAATAATTATTCTACTGAAAAATCTAGGCCTTCTCTTAAGTCTGTCTACGATGTTGTAGATTTTTTTTTTATTTCAAAGCAAAGTCACACAGCTGGAGATCGTTATATATAACTTGACCAGGTGTCATTTTCCTCGTCTATTTTTACTTAGTTACAATCTCTCTACATACTTGCTCCTGCCAGTGATGGTATCTATAACTATGTGTTTATGCTATTTTTTCTTCTCTGCTTTCTCTATACTGACAAATTATCTTTTCCTTACACATTTAAGCTGCTTTTATTGCCGATTTTTCTCCATTCTTCACATGGCGTTTTTGCTATAAATAGCGACACGCGACTTTTAATACAGACGGGAGATAACTCTTATACTTTGACCCAAATTCTTACTGAATAAAAATACATGAAAATACCCAAAAATCAAAATAAAAAACATCGGGGCGGGACATTTTGAGAGGGGCGGGCGGGGATGAGAATCTAAAGATTAATTTTATATGGCCTAATGGGTTTAAAGTAGACTAACTTGTGTCAAATTGAGTGAGTTAAATACAGACTTTGCTTCATTTATGAATTAACAATATGCTTTATAACATATTTCAATGTAATAATAAGCTTCCAAGCATAGATTATTGTTAACAATTTAAACAAAAAAAAACCATATACTGTAAACCAACTATTATTCGTGTCATCTTTTATTCGGGAGTCCTCAGTTTAATATCAATCCAGGACAATAAAGTTCCACAACTAATGGGAACATCTGTACAAATGCTTAACAAACTGAATGGTTTGCTGCGATTAATATTCGCTAATTGAAATAGGTCGCGGAACTTGCGGATATATCTTGCACTCAAATAAAAGTTTGTTTACAGTAAATAAAGAAGTAAACAGGTATCACTACAAAATTTGAGGTAATGGGATAAAATGACTGACAATATTTTCTGTTTTATAGCAGAGTTATACTTTGCAGATGAGGAGAACTGTTCTGTTGTGGGCGGGGTAGAGACAGGTCGCCGGAGGTCACGGGAGTCTGGTCCAGGGTCGTATCCACAGGCAGGGCAACAGCTGTCAGCTCCCAGGTGTAGGATCAGAGGTAATTATCTCATCAGGGCTGATTTGACATTTAATATAGATTTGCACATGCAGTGTTGACTTGAGGGTAGCGTTATTTTTGTCTAGAAATTTTCAAGACTTATTTTGTTGTTAAGTAAAGTTGAATAATGTCTGAATTTGTTATTTGTTAACAGTCCTAAATGAATAATAATAGACACTTGAAAGAGAACAACTTTATTCAGGAAAAGTTTTTAAAGATGATGATTATAAACAATCAGAGGTGCTGTTTCTTGTTTTGGGTTGCTAATAGATAATTTGTGAATGTTAGGCAGTGTACGAGTATGTCAATGAATAAATTGTTTGCTTGTTTGAGGAGAAGTACTACGTAATTTTTTTTTATCAATGTGGAGTAGTAACCCTTGTGCATCAATTTTCAGGAAAAAATGAATTTGTGTCGGTGACACACATCATCAATCCTTGCAAGTTCATGGTTCAACTCAAGGAGGATCAGCCGAGTCTGAGGAAGCTCTCCAAACAAATCAACTCATGGGCCAATACCAGCGGGGCCAATGAAATACCTATGGAGGTCAAACCAGGTCAGTTCGCATATCTAATGAGAAAAATACCTCGCTCAAGTCAGGCATGGTGAAATGTGTCTCATTTTTATAAATCTGTAGAAAACAGGAGAATCTCCTTGAGAATAGTTGTTTCACTCTAAAAAATCTTGATGGAAATATACAGTGTACATAAATATTGCTGTTATCTTCCTAGCACAGTATGTAGCTGTTAAGTTAATTGAGGAATGCTATATTTATGCCCTCCTTCGAAGAAGGGAGGGCATATTGCTTTGCTGCTGTCTGTCGGTCGGTATGTCGGTCCATTTAGTTTTTGTTCATTTTCTTCACAACTGTTGCACATATTGAAATGAAATTTGGTATACAGATTTATCTATGAATGTCTAGGTCAAGTTTGTTTTGGGTACGATCTTGCCATTTTGTCAGAGTTATGCCCCTTGGACTTAGATAAAAATTCCAATTCCAATTATTTGCAGTTTCCGTTCATTTTCTTTGCAGAGGTTGAACATATTGAAATGAAATTTCGTATACAGATTAATCAGCTGAATATCTAGGTCAAGTTTTGTTTTGGGTACGATCGTGCCATTTTTGATAGAATTAAACCCCTTGCACTTCGAAAAATTCCAATTTGGGGAAGGGGGGCATAAGTGTTCTACAAACATCTCTTGTTCTCTAGCAATTGCATGCAGTAATTTTTGATATATATACATTGTACATGTATTATAAGTTGTAGATATGAGTCTTGTTACTGAGTGCTTGTTTGTGTAGGTGACTTGGTGATTGTGAAGTACACACAAGATGAGGACTGGTACAGAGGCCGTGTCAAACAAATCATCGGGAAAAACAACGTCAATAACATGCAGCTGGAGGTCCTATATATCGACTATGGAAACTCAGAGATTGTGGGACTGGAAAGGTACAGAAGTGTGGGATGGAATTTTTCAAAAACAAAATTCCTGGCTGGCTACTTTCCTTAAAATATTTGTCCTTCTTTAAGTGGAAGAATAAAAATGTTTAAGAAATAGTAGTCAACCAGTATTGAAATATAATGGAGCTGAAAAAGATATTATTGAAACCATTATACTGATAAAGTTTACTTTTTTTTACTATAACCAGAGTGAGGAGAATGCAAACTCGATTTCAGAACCATCCTGAGTTTATGGTGGAGTGTAGCTTGTTTGACATCATTCCTCCTGATACTGTGAGTATGGACTGTTAGAATGACGCACAATCATTTATATACTGTGTATATTGTCAAATTGAATTCAGTATAAATTTAACAAGTTAACTTCATGTATGATCATTTGTTAGAATATTCATTTTACATATTGAAAAAGGAGGATCTTTTTCAAGTTACCCTGAGATTTTCATACAAAAGGAATACAAATAATTTGAAATGTCATTATTTTTTAGAATATTCATTGTACCCTGAGATTTGCATACAAAAGAAATACAAATAATTTGAAATGTAAATATTGATTGAATTTATTTTTTTAGGGAGGTTGGTCCAAGGAGGCTATTCAACAGTTCTGTAAAATGACGGAGAACAAAACTCTGTACATGACGGTGATACGAGAGGTCAACAACGTACTACATGTCGACCTCAGCAAACCAGCACTGGACATGACGAAAAACGAGGTCCCTGTCTCCATACGTGACGCTCTCGTCTTCCTGGAGTTTGCTCAGTTTGTTACCCCAGATTCTGGGAACATTACAGGTGAGACCGAAAGTTCATGTACATCAGATGGTCATACATGTTTTACAGGTAAGACCAAAAGTTACAGACAACAGATGCTAATGCATGTATTTCAGGACACACAGTTTGTCAATTGTGTATATATTCATCAAGTCAAATATTTTTTTGATGGCAGATGATGCATATGTCTGATTCTAATTTCTACTTTATGCAGCCAACAGTTACTTGCGGAATTGATGAAATTTAAAATGGTATCATTTTTTGTTTGTTATGTTTTAAAGTAGGTGAATCTCTTTCATTTTTAAGTTACTTTAATTCTTATTTTTAATTCTTAACAGGAAAGCCAGCTGTGATGAGACAGTACATAAAACCCGAGCCTCACTATGAGGGGGAGATATTTAATGTGATCGTGACCAGCGTAACAGACCCCCACAACTTCTACATACAAGAGGTCAGTACTTAATGACCAGTTAACAGCATGAATTACATGTACAGTAGATGATAAGTCATTTGTCGTTTTAGGAGTTTTTGTTGTTTTGTATGTGTTTTGGAATGTATCTGTAATGGCTTCATGTTGTCTACAAATTTCAGTGCATGTGTCCTGGGAAGGTGAGAATGTGTTTTGGAGACTCTGGAAAAATAAAAATTGACTTGTTTGTTCTGGATTTATTTGTTTTGCATGTAACTGTCTTGAACAGTGAACAAACTTTCTTTGCTTCTGTTTGATTCTTATTTTTATGCACATGTAGTAATTTTCTCAAAAAAAAAAACAAAAAAAATGGAGAGCACTGAATTTACTTTTGTTCATGTTGATCGTACTGCAGCTATTGTTTAACTGCAATATATTTTAGTAATATGGAGAGAAATTTGATAAATATATGTTAAAAAACAAATTATGAGATTTTGTTAAATTTTGTTTTCAACATTTCAGTTCTTATTTAATCAAAAATATTTTGCCTAGTCATTTTACTGTTGAATCATCTCTGTTTGGAATTGGTGTTAAGGGGTTTTGTGGGTAACCTTTACCTCATACATGCCAACTTTTGAAAATCCCCATGGGGGATTTGGCACCCTCATGCGATCAATTTTCAAGAGCTTTTAAGTTACGGACATTTTGTCTGAAATTAAATGATTATGAAATGATCTTTTTTTAAATTTATAATATTGACAGCGTCTTATCATTACATTAAAAATTAATTTAACACAAAAAATAATGTTTTTCTTTCCAAAATTGAAATATTTCTGCTAAAATAGGTGCCTTTTTATACTTAAGATATGGGGTATTTATTTTTAAAATCATATTTTTTCTATGGTACATTTAATTTAAAGGTGTCAAAACATCGAAAATTTTACAACTTTTAAATCATTTTTTCAAAGGCTAAAAAAAGGTCGCCAGGTTTTTCGTGTGTTGTGTTTAAACTTTTTTGAGATTTTTTATATATATTAGAAATTTTAAAATTTTTAAATTTACAAAATTGATTGTGGAATTGAAAAGAATTTTTAATTATTTTTTTTAAAACTTTTATTTTGAATGGTCAAACTTGTGTATTCTTTAATAAAACCTTGCTTTTGGGAGAAGCGGAGGACAATACCTCGTGCACATTCAAGCATAATAAAATCTTTGTGTTTGCCTTATATTTTTTCAAAAAAATTTCATGCACTTAGAAATATTTTTTATTATAGGTACCGATAAACATCATAGCTAAATTTTAGTTTTCTACTTTCGTTTTCAAAAAACGATCTCTTTGTCCACGATTTTATGGTTTAATTAGTATTTTATTGTCTTTAATTTATGTTTTTAATAAAATGACTAACAGTTATCACGTTAATCTATGTGTTTCACCTTGCATACCCCTTAAAACGGAATGGTATTAATGGGGTCAATTGCCTGAAATATAAGCTTATTAATTACCTAAGCGGACCGACTTATAGGCGAGTATATACGTGAAGTGATTTCCTGGCTAAAAAAAAAAAAAATAAACAGTGAAACTTTTGTGTGCATGAATATAATCGTACTGCAGCTATTGTTTAACTGCAATATATTTCTAGTTCTGGAGAGAAAGTTTGTTCACTGTTAAAAGTTCAATTGTCTTTGTTAAATTTTGTCTTCAACATTTCAGTTCTTATTTAATCAAAAATATTTTGCCTAGTCATTTTACTGTTGAATCATCTCTGTTGGGAATTGGTTAAGGGATTTTGTGGGTAACCTTTACCTATGAATTTACATCCGTATAAACATTGATTCACAATGCAGGTTCATTTAGCACAGAAGCATATTATACCTTATAGAAATATTTAATATAAGTGATGAAAAATATTGCCTACATGGAAACCAGTACATTTAGGTTACTCGATAAACAAAGATGATTCCTCAAAAAATATTTTGTTCTGTGTTAATACCAAGTTAAGTTCTCACTGATAAGACACTACTGTTAACTTAAAAACTGACTCAAATATTTCAAAACATATGTTTTTGTTCAAACATGATTCAGCATATTAGATGAAATTTCTATAAGGAATGAGATGTAAACCATTGAATCAGTTGGAAGTGTTTACAAAGTTAGTGACTGTCTTATGGTAACCATATGTTACTTTTATACAGTTAGGAGATGTGTCCACTTACTTTGCTGAAATGATGAACAAAATGCAAAAGGTCTACTCCAAGGAAAACTCTATGGATCTGTGGAGCATATACTGTCCCAAAAAAGGTCTGTCACTGTGCTTGATGTATTTCTTAAGAGCTTAGTAAAAAGGCATGTAATTGATACATGTATTCATTTTCAGGTTTTATGTAAAACTGTACATGACTGTGTACTGTTTTTGAAGCAAAGTTGATGCTTGTTAATATCAATATTATGACAAAAGTAATATGATTTTAATAAGTATATTTAAATGTTCCAAGTCATATATTGAACTTTTGTTTGCAACCAGACTTTGATTGCACCTTCTGATAGAAGCAAAGAGATGGTGTATAGTCTTAAAAGTAATAAATATTTATGAATATAAAATTTTCTCTCTACATTTGATTCCCTTTGAACAGACATGGTGTGCAGCTGTCAATATTCCCTGGACAAGGTGTTTTACCGGGCCCTCATCACAAACTTGCCTGGTCGTAAGCACGTGGATGTGTTTTACGTAGACTTTGGTAACAGAGAGAGAGTTCATTACAGTCGACTAAGAATACTTCTGGATGAGTTCCTCATTCTACCAGCACAGGTCAGTCAGAGAGGATAGAGATATCAAGCATTCCCACTGGGTCTTTTGTTTGTTGTTATTCAGAAATTTGAGAGAGTACATATATTAAACATTGCTATTCTATCTTTTGTTTGTTGTAATTCAGGAATTTGAGAGAGTACATATATTAAACATTGCTATTCTATCTTTTGTTTGTTGTAATTCAGGAATTTGAGAGAGTACATATATTAAACATTGCTATTCTATTTTTTGTTTGTTGTAATTCAGGAATTTGAGAGAGTACATATATAAAACATTCCTATTCTATCTTTTGTTTGCTGTAATTCAGGAATTTGAGAGAGTACATATATTAAACATTCCTATTCTGTCTTTTGTTTGTTGTAATTCAGGAATTTGAGAAATGTAAGGATTCCAATTTTCCAATTGTTCTTGACTTTTTGTATAAGTTGTTGCTTTAAAAGTCTTGCTGAGAAAATGGAATTTATAAATGTTGGAAAACATTCACATATTTGTATTAATGTATAGTTGGGGGGGGGGGGGGGGATGTATATGCATGCAAATGTGTTGTCAAGAGCAAACTGATCTTCTTTCCTTGTACTTATAAAAATGATAGTGTCACTGTTCAAGGTAAAAAATTTGCAGTTATTGATTTACAGGCAGTAAAGTGCAGACTTGTTGATGTGGAACCTAAAGATTCCAAATCTTGGAGTGATAGTGTAAGTTACCTAAATGTCACTTTTATAGTGCAAGTAGAGTCTACCTTTTAATTAATTTCACTTATGACAGTGCATTTACAATATAAACACAACAGATTTTAACGTAAAAATTAACTATTTTCACTTACATCGTTTCATTGTACATTTTCCAGGCATGTAGTTTTGATATGTTTTGTTTTTTATAACTTACAGGCCAAGCAGTGGTGGACAACGAAAGTATATCTAAACAAACTCACAGTCAGAATTGCAGGTTGAGTTTCATTTGTATTTTAATATTTGCATAGATGTGAAAATTTGTATGAAACTCTTAATGTGATAAATTCATAAAAAATTCAGTTTTAAAAGGGGGAGGGAGCAGAGGAACCAGGGAGTTGATTTCACATATCTTTTTCATCTCTTGGCTCAAGATCAAATTTTTATTTTTTCCTTAGAGGTGACAGATAACAAGGTGTACTCTGTTGTTCTGATGAATGACTTTGATGAGGATAAACCCCAGTACAGCCTCAATAGTGAACTAGTCAGCAAGGGGTATGCCAATAGCACAGGAGACAGGTAGGCAGACTCAGTAGTGAACTAGTCAGCAAGGGGTACGCCAATAGCACCGGAGACAGGTAGGTAACCTCAATAGTGAACTAGTCAGCAAGGGGTACGCCAATAGCACCAGAGACAGGTAAGCAACCGCAATCTTGAACTAGTCAGCAAGGGGTACGCCAATAGTACAGGAGACAGGTAGGAAGCCTACAGGTAGGAAGCCTCAATAGTGAACTAGTCAGCAAAGGGTACGCCAATAGCACCAGAGACAGGTAGGCAACCTCAATAGTGAACTAGTCAGCAAGGGGTACGCCAATAGTACAGGAGACAGGTAGGCAGCCTCAACAGTGAACTAGTCAGCAAGGGGTACGCCAATAGTACCGGAGACAGGTAGGTAGCCTCAATAGTGAACTAGTCAGCAAGGGGTACACCAATAGTACAGGAGACAGGTAGGCAGCCTCAATAGTGAACTAGTCAGCAAGGGGTACGCCAATAGCACCGGAGACAGGTAGGTAGCCTCAATAGTGAACTAGTCAGCAAGGGGTACGCCAGTAGTACAGGGGACAGGTAGGCAACCTCAGTAGTAGTCAGCAAGGGGTACGCCAATAGAACAGGAGACAGGTAGGCAGCCTCAATAGTGAACTAGTCAGCAAGGGGTACGCCAATAGCACCGGAGACAGGTAGGTAGCCTCAATAGTGAACTAGTCAGCAAGGGGTACGCCAATAGTACAGGAGACAGGTAGGTAACCTCAATAGTGAACTAGTCAGCAAAGGGTACCCCAATAGTACTGGAAACAGGTAGGCAGACTCAGTAGTGAACTAGTCAGCAAAGGGTACCCCAATAGTACGGGACACAGGCAGGCAGCCTCAATAGTCAGCAAGGGGTACGTCAGTAGTACAGGAGACGGGTGGCAGCCTCAATAGTCACTAGTCAATAGTCAGCAAGGGGTACGCCAATAGCACCCGAGACAGGTAGGCAGACTAGAAAAGAGCATTGGTTAATTTGTGTGTCAGTTTATTGCATATAAAGAATATTTGTTTCATCCTTTCAACTTAAATTTAAAGGTTTATGTTCTAGGAAATTAGATTTTATTTGAAATATTGATATAATTTAAAATTTATATAATCTGCGAAGAAATCTTTGTTTAGAGTCAGTCTGAGAGAAAACCATGCAAAATTTTAAAAAATCGTCCAAATGGAAGATTGCAACTTTGGGAGTTTTTAGTGGCTTAAAATTTTCTACATAAAGGTAGAAGTCAGAATTGCCACAAAAAAATGTTGAACCCTGCATTTATTTTTAGTAACAGCTCATTTGCATATTTGTCGAAAATCACACAAAATTCAATGGAAAGTCTGTACAAATCATGATCCATTCAAAAAGTTACATTCTGTCATCAATTTATTTTCAAATTTTGTTATATTTTCGAAGTCTTGGTCCAATTTACACAATTAATGAGGAAAAACTTAATTCAAATGAATGTTTTAATTTTTAGCTCTACTGGTCAGAGACCAGAAGAGCTTATGCGATAGTAATGCATCCGTCGTCCGTCCGTCTGTCTGTCTGTCTGTCCGTCTGTCTGTCTGTAAACAATTTTTCAAAATGCTACTCCTCCTACAGTTTTAGTCTGATTTCAATATAACTTGGCACACAAGTAGACTACACTAAGATACACAATTCTGTTTATCTGTTTTTGATTTCGATGAAAGGTGTTGCTGTGGTTACTAAAAATAGAAATTTCTGTGAAATTCTTTCAAAATGCTACTCCTCCTACAGTTTTAGTCTGATTTCAATATAACTTGGCACACAAGTAGACTACACTAAGATACATAATTCTGTATATCGGTTTTTGATTTCGATGAACGGTGTTGCCGTGGTTACTGAAAATAGAAATTTCTGTGAAATTCTTTCAAAATGCTACTCCTTCTACAGTTTTAGTCTGATTTCAATATAACTTGGCACACAAGTAGACTACAATAAGATACATAATTCTGTGTATCAGTTTTTGATTTCGATGAACGGTGTTGCCGTGGTTACTAAAGATAGAAATTTCTGTGAAATTCCTTCAAAATGCTACTCCTTCTACAGTTTTAGTCTGATTTCAATATAACTTGGCACACAAGTAGACTACACTAAGATATATAATTCTGTATATTGGTTTTTGATTTCGATGAACGGTGTTGCAGTGGTTACTAAAAATAGAAATTTCTGTGAAATTCTTTCAAAATGCTACTCCTCCTACAGTTTTAGTCTGATTTCAATACAACTTGGCACACAAGTAGACTACACTAAGATACACAATTCTGTGTATCGGTTTTTAATTTCAATGAACGGCGTTACCGTTGTTACTAAAAATAAAAATTTCTGTGAAATTCTTTTAAAATGCTACTCCTTCTACAGTTTTGGTCTGATTTCAATATACTGTAGACGTACTTTTTTCCGCGGGGTCATAATTCCGCGGAATCTCAATTTCTGTTTAATCTGCGGGTAGAAAATTACGCGGATTTTCTTGACTGTCACTATATGCCTTACATTTATATTAAGTACGCTTGGACAAATTTCCGCGGATTATCTGTGACCGCGTACATAGCGTAAATTAATACCACGCGGAAAAATGTACTTCTACAGTAACTTGGCACACAAGTAGACTACACTAAGATACATAATTCTGAGTATTGGTTTTTGATTTCGATGAACGGTGTTGCCGTGGTTACTAAACATAGAAATTTCTGTGAAATTCTTTCAAAATGCTACTCCAAATACAATTTTAGTCTGATTATAATATAAATGTGGCATGCAAGTAGACTGCACTAAGAAGATAAAGAGACTTAATCCAGGATCATTATTCTATTTATTGCTGTTGAAAAGTTTCAATTTCCAACTGCTTAAGTACTTTTCTCTTCCTTTGCTATAAGTACAAACCAGTAGAGCTTCAGTCTCGACAGAGACTTCTGGTTATACATCTATTTATAGATCGTAGATCAATGAGTATGATTTTTAGCCATTTTTAGCTGCTCTTTACTCTCAAGACCAAGTTTAAAGTTAAATTAAATTAATTGTTACTTTAAGAATGATTTAAGGTGTATTTTGTATTAAAATATTGAGCTTGGGAAATAATATCTACATGTTGTAAATTAACTTTGAAATACCATACTTGGCTACAATTTCACATATTTTAATTAACAGTCTATTATTATATTTATGGATTATTTCTATGATATTTAAATGAAAAATAGAAAATTCTTAATCTAATATATTTTTAGAATAGGAATAACTGATTTGGATACTTCATATAACTTTCCTTTGCTTATTTTAGCCCCATGTTACCAATTTACTGGAAATAAATTGTTATCTCCCCTTGTTGGAACTCTTTAGTATTATTGGGTAAAAAGTGACAGGTGAGTGGTGAGTCAACATTTAATTTAAAGAAGAAAGTCAAGTATGATCATTTTTTTTTCTTCACCTAGGGAGTTGTTTTGGAGCATTATTGCACTATGAAAATGGGAAAACTTTAGCTTATTTTAAGATATTTGAATGTAAGAAAGAAACAACAACTTAGCTTGAATAAGCAAATGGCAGGCCCATAGGAAGCAATTTTAGTGTGAGGGAGGGGGACAACCTACATTATCTGTATTCATTAAAAAGTATATAAAAAAAAATGTACTATGCGGTAATTAACAGTTACAAAAATTTTCCTAACAAGTACAATTGTATAGGAAATTAATGCAGTTTTACTTTAAAAGTCCTTTTAACAACAGATATTTTTTTTTTTCTCAAAATATACATTTGATATTTTGTTTAAGGCACCTGGCCCCATTCAAGTTCAAGTTCATTTTTTCACTCACCATTTCAAATACATGGTGCATGAGGACAATGAAGAATATTTACAACATATAAATTCAGATCAGAGGTACAAGTTTATGATATACATAATCAGAATATGAAAAGGAGGAGAAAAAAAAGAAAAACAAATTTGAAACATGTAATAATGAAATAAACTAGGGGGAAAATCATGGAGGACAGACTATAAAAATACATAGTTTTCTTAGTGTCTTAATTAGCATCTTGTTTTGTCATCAGTTGAAAAAATTTACAAACAGATGAGGCATCCAAATACATGTAGTGATATAATGCTTTTCAAAAGTTTCTACCTTCATAAGTTCAACACCAAACAAACAGATGATTTAGTAATTATGGAAATGAACATAGCAATAGATTTACAGAATATTTTCAATAGTTATATATCTTTACATTCAATATGTAACCCATTTGAGTTTGAGCAATTTTTTTTCGACAAATTGGCAATTTGTAAATTCCTATATGTCAAGAAATTATTAGTTCCCAAGCTTAATATTTTGCAAAGGTAATGTATAGAGTTCTATTTGTACAATAAAATCAAAAATTTTAATTTCAAAGATTGGTCTTGGAAGATTTTTGGCATTATATTTGTAATACTTTTGACAATTTTTAAAAATTGGCATTGTGCCAATTTTCAAGAGTTGTCTGCCCTCTGATATGTTGCATATGATATTTGATTATGACAATATCAATTTTGAAAGAACATAGTCTAATGTTACTTAAAAGTACCTTAAAATAAATGCAAATTTGATTTTGAGTACAATGAATTAAATATGATTTTTACCATTTTGCTTAAAATTTTTAAGTGTATTTGCACTAAAATGTGCAGAAAGGAGGTGGCACGGCCTACAGCTGCCATGTTGAATGAAGGGAATTTTTTGGGGGCTTTTTTTTGAATAAAAATATTATGAAGTCTAACTACCCACCAAATTTCATTAAGATATGACAACCTTTGATTTGTACAGTTTTGCATGGTTTTCTCGCAGACTTCAGTAAAACTTGATTGTAAGAAAGTCAGCAAGACTCTTAATTTTCCTTCCTTATAATTGAGATGATAAAGGTACAAGGAACTTGATGTAAAGTCTTCTAAGGAATTTGTAAAAAGTTCTTTATAAACAAGATTTTCTAATAATAAAGTTTTAACCCAGTTTTACAGTAGAATTGACTTAAAAGTTTGTGTTTAATGATTACAGTTGATTACATCTGTCATTTCAAGGTCATTGCCAATCCCTGAGGATCAGTTGTTGGCTTCTGGGTCACAAGAAAGCTTGACAGACTGCTCCACCAGGGTGAGTGTTCAAAGACCCAATGTGCCCACGATTAGTGATGACTGTTTAATTTATCACATTAAATAAATCTTTTATGCAATGATATATGCGAACAATATGGAGTTTTAAAGGTATCTTGTGGTATTTATGAGCTTTTGATGCCTTATTGTAATAGTAAAGTAATGAAATGGTTCATTGTGTTATATGGAATTGTTCATATAGAAGTAAACAATTTCTGTGGAAAGTTGTGAACAACTGCAATAATTTTTTTTAATTTGCCTTATAAAGCCCTGAGAACCTGATAGCATATGTACATTGGATTCCAATTGAGTCTGATGTACTTCAGTAGTCTGTTCATTTTAAGGGAGGTTACTGTGTACAGGGAAGTTTTCGTCCCCGTTTTATTTTCGCTCCTTTCACCCTTGTGAAAAGTGGGTGAATTTAAAAGGGGCGAATTGAAAGAACAGAGTATAAATTCTTAAACAAAACTGCAACTTGGCGAATTTAAAACAGGGCAAAATTGTTAGCAAGTGTAAAATGGAGAAAATAACACAGGCAAAAATAACCCTATGTGCTACATGTATATTGAATTTGATTCAGAGTTCATCAATGGCGTTGGGAAGAGAGAGCACCTCTGTGTCCACAGAATCCCTACCCTCATCGGCTCTGTCCTTCACCCCAGGGGCATCTCCAAGGAAACTGTGTTCTCCAGCACCAGAAGAAAATGTCTCTGACTCATCCACAGGGGCCAGGAAAAAGTCAAGGCAGGCCTCCAGTCACAAAAAGAAATGTAGGGAACTTCTTTATACCATTTGTGATATTTAACAGATCTTAACTTTTCTAGGATTTACATGTAAATATAGAAATTAACAAGATTGTGAAATCTTGCAGAGATACATCTATTTAATCTAAACTGCAAAAATTAATCTTGTAATGATTTTGTTATTCTCTACTGTAGATTCTTAAATATACGCGTGGAATTAATTATCGCGTAATTTCGGGAGAAGCACCACACGCGAAATAAAATTACTCACCTTTATTCATATGGTGCTGAAATCCATGTAAAATCTCGAGACCAACCGTCCATTCGCGAATTATTATTCTTCCGATTTGACGTTGAAGAGCCAATTCGCGATAATAAGTACTCGCGAAAAATAAGGAATTTACAGTATTTTTGTCACAGCTAGTATAATTTAGCAAAAAAATTGCAAATAAAAGAATGAAAGAATGCATTAACAATACTAATGGATAATCAAATTACATGTTCTGAAATGAATGTAGTCAGGTAATTTTTAGTAATCTTTAAAGACAGAAAAACTCTATTCCAGCAAAAGTTCAGAAGGGCAGTGAAGAAGATCTAGATGTTGAAGTTAAAATTGGTCAGTTTACAGACCCGTCTTGCTTCTATGCTTACGTGGTGGACGACAGCTTAGATAGGTGAGGGGACTGGGTCATTGAAATTATATCAGAAATTTTGACAATGATTGACCTATTGTAGAGAAGACTTTGTTAATTTTTACAGGAAAATCTTAACTGCAATTTGAAAAGAAATATTTTATGAAAAAAATTTTGCAAGTTGTGAATAACTGCTTATGAAATGCCCTCTTTGTTTGTTAATCCCTTATGGCTTACCTTCTCCATTCCCTGGTCATTTGTGTGTGGATTTTTTGAAGAGTTGTAATACCTCGCAGTATGTTCTTGACCGTTTTTTGTAATAGGATAATGGACAATATGGAGGAAGAATATCGAGACTCTGAGCCACAGTGGATTAACTGGGATGAGGGGACGTTCTGTGCGGCGAGGAGACCGGAGGACGGGAAGTGGTACCGGGCCAGGATAGAGCAAGTCATGAACAAGAACGTCGTGGAGGTGAGTACTGGGCCAGGATAGAACAAGTCATGAACAAGTACGTCGTGGAGGTGAGTACTGGGCCAGGATAGAACAAGTCATGAACAAGTATATCGTGGAGGTGAGTACCGGGCCAGGACAGAACAAGTCATGAACAAGTATGTCGTGGAGGTGAGTACCGGGCCAGGACAGAACAAGTCATGAACAAGTATGTCGTGGAGGTGAGTACCGGGCCAGGACAGAACAGGTCATGAACAAGTACCGTATAACTGGATTTTTCTACGGGGTGCTATTTTTTGCGAAATTCTGCGATCAAATCTTAATCGCAAAAAATTCAATCGCAAAAAATACATAAATAAAATCCGGAATTTTCAGTTGCGATCATCGAAGTTCTACTTTTACAGATACCGGAAGTATATGTAAATAATGCCATTGCACGTTTTCAATCGTATTTTACAGGTAATTTACTTGATATCAACAACAATGATTGTTTTTCGATTGAATAAAACGAATTCCTAAAGATTCAATATTTATTTGTTCCTTCATTGTATTTCATGATTTATTTATATGAAACCCGAATAGCAATTGTCGGTTTGGCTATTCCGCGGCTTGATCGGGTCCTTCGAACACCAGTGTTTACCAGATTTTTCTTAATCGGTATTCTGTCCTTGAGAGAAGAATTTCTTGTGTAATATTTCCTCTACTGGGATTATATAAACTCTTTATAATCATAAAGGAAAGTTCGTAGTCTATGGGAACTTACTGAAACGAACTTCTATAAATTAATTTCAAAGAATTATCGTCTCGGTTTCAATTCAAAATAATTGTGACTTTGTTCCTAATTTACCTTGTGAATAATAACCCATTAATTATAACAACACACGGACGACCCACAGGTGTAGTGTCATCTATGTAAACACCCAATTAACAGCCCAAGGCCTTTACTGTTTCCAGGTAAGTCCAGACTGCATCAGTATTTTACGCTTGATTGGCTTGGATTACAAGTGCAATCAAAACTTCGAGAGATAGAGAGTAAAATTCAATGAAATATGTGTAAAGGGACCCAGGTTTTGGTTCGAGAGATAGAGAATTTCGAGAGATTCAAGAGATCAGGAGTAAATCTGCTTAGTTATATAGAGGAAAAAAACGGGACCGGAGGTTCACTTCGAGAGATCGGAGTTCAAGCCATCGAGAGTCACCTGTATTTTAAATTGCTTTGGTTTGTTCAATATAAAAATAAAAATAGATTTATTGTTTAAATGTCTAGTAATAAAATTCAATAAAAATAGACTTTATTGTCAAAGTGAAATCGCAAAAATTAAAATCGCAAAAAATAAATATACCTATTTCAGGATCAAATCGCAAAAATTTGCACCCGCATTAAAAACCAGTTATACGGTATGTCGTGGAGGTGAGTACCGGGCCAGGATAGAACAGGTCATGAACAAGTATATTGTGGAGGTGAGTACTGGGCCAGGACAGAACAGGTCATGAACAAGTATATTGTGGAGGTGAGTACCGGGCCAGGACAGAACAAGTCATGAACAAGAACGTCATGGAGGTGAGCACTGGGCCAGGATAGAACAGGTCATGAACAAGAACGTCTTGGAGGTGAGTACCGGGCCAGGATAGAACAAGTCATGAACAAGTATATCGTGGAGGTGAGTACCGGGCCAGGACAGAACAGGTCATGAACAAGTACCGTATTTCGGGGAATACAATACGCACTTTTTTCCTAAAATAAATTACTGTGAGAAAGGGATGCGTATTTTACATCACAATGGGATTTTGACAAGTTTTTCTTTCAGATGAAACATGGCTATCATACGTACATACCGTAGTATTACCTAGAGACATATGCAATTTCTTTTGTTTATTGCCATATTTTAAACTTCGGAAAGTTATTGTTGGAAGGTATGCTTCTTAAAAATGTCACTTTCACAACCTTTTGATACCAAAATAACATGAAAAATAAGTTAAAAGTAACTTGAACTGCATGTTGATTGTCTCCGAGGAGGCCGCCATTACCGATGTTATTTTTAGACGTTAACTCATGCTTATGTCACGTGTTTCCGTAATGATAGTGCACATGCACCTTATCTGCCAGACAAAGTAATAAATCATTTTTTAATAAAATACAATAAAATAAATATTAATATTAGGTTTAAAATAACTCATTGATAATCTGCAACAATATTTAACACCCCTCCATACGTCCCAATGAAAGGAAGCCAATGTTGTGACACACGTGCGCTGGTCAAATGATAATTACCTATCAACAGTCAACACCCCTCGAGGCAATTAATTGTCTACCGACTCCAAAGCAATGTTTTTACAGTTACAGCACTGATTATTTACTGCCATGTTAATTGTTTTGATTATTTTCTTTGTTAAAAAGGGGGTCGGTTTATGACCTTTCGTATGTGTGAGCATGTGTTGATTACGGCACTTTAAACAATTAAACACTTGTTAAATATAATTTTACCTTATCTTATACTTATCGGCCTCTTGTTTAAATAATTGAGAGTTGACAAATGAAATATTAATTATGCTAAAACTTTTAATAAAAGTGGTATCATTTAGAAAATAAGATATCCGCGAAGATTCAAAAGAGGAAAATCGTAGTCTTCTTAAAGAAATAAATACTTTGATGTTTCAATTTCGTTTCCTGTTAAAATATTGTAAGATAATTTTCAGCATGATTATCTAGAACCAAAATTAAATATGACAACTGATAAAACTTTCGACAATATCTCTTGCTTTGTTGAAATAAAATTATTTCATCTAAGAATATGGCGACGCATCATTTCAAAATCACCGTAACTATTCTTTAAAAAAACCTGTTAATACTTTAACGCAATATTATCTTGTACTTTGTTGAAATAAATGAATAAATAATTTTCTCCAGATTGCCGCGATATGGAATGTCAGGATTAAGAGAAGTTATAAAGTGTGTATTAAAAAAAAAAGTGTGTTCAGTAAATTTTTGACACTTAATCCTCGCGCCGATTTTCGTAACAAATTACCGCGATTTTCAAAGTTCAGAACATCACTTGGTAAATTTTTCTGCTGCGTATAATACATCCGAACTGCGTTTTTTTCCCCAGTTTCAGACTCAAAAAGGGGGGTGCGTATTTTACATCAATGCGTATTATACTCGGCCAAATACGGTATGTCGTGGAGGTGAGTACCAGGCCAGGACAGAACAAGTCATGAACAAGAGGAGGTGAGTGAACAGGAAATGGAACCATGTCATCCATGAGAAGTGTAGGGGCAAGAATAGATTTTTTAGTATAAAACACTCTGGACTAATTCATTTGTATAAAATCTAATTTTACTTGGCAACCAGTGCCTGTGTTTACTCACATGTTTACCTATTGTGATGAAAAATAGGGAGATTCAGACCTGAAAAGCAGTAGCACTTCGAGTGTGTTGTTTTACTCTTGGATTTATGAAGATATATTTCATGATACCCAAGCGAACCAAAACTGCTGTAGACAATTTTGTAGAAAAGTGGTAGATTTATGAATAAAATTAGTAGGCGGGAGATGGAGTAAAGAAGCGGTAGACTCCCGCTTAAATCAGTAGTGTTAACATATTTGGTGTTATTAAAAGCTCAAGTAATATTAAATACTGTAGATCACTCAATTTTCGTGACACCTTATTTCAGCAATATAGCATTTAAACTCTTAATAAGCAAGTAAAAGTTTTCTAAATTGTGGTATCAGCTCTTTATAATCAAATGATATTTTGTGAGTTCACCATCTTACATAATTATGAAAGAAGTTCTCGCAAAAAAAGTAATTTACAGTACTAGCATTTTATGGATCCTCAACATTAACCTTGAGAAGGTCAATTATTAAGATGAAAAAAATTATAAATATTGGTTCTATAAAATCTATCATAAATGAAAAATTGGACGCAAACCCCCCAAAGTCGGATCTCTTTAATGTTAATTACCATTGCTGTTTCTCACAAAAAGAAACAGGATAGGAGAACTAAACTTTGATTCTTCCTCATGTTCCTTGGCTTAAATGTTATAAACAGGTAAACGATGTGCATTGGCGTCACTATTACTTTTGTTTGACAAATGTGAATAAAATATGCAATGTTAGTCTAGATAGAAAATTTTCCTAAGAATATATTGGATACACCCTTTAAAGTATTCAAGTAAGAGAAAAGGGAAGCTAAGATATTTTTATTGTATTTAGTTTAATCACAGAGTTTCCAGCTCTTAAAATATGCAACACCTTAAGTTTCAGCATGTTCAGATTTATCAGAAAAAATTACATTTGACATCAAGACATCATGTTGAAATCTGCATGCATAATAAGCAAAATGTTTAACCTAAAACTAAAAAGTAAAAGTTTAAACTAAAACTGGACTTTAACAGTATGGTGAAATGTTGAAAATGTTAAATCTTAACTAAAAGTTTCCAATTGTACCTCTGCCTTGCTACCTGCAGACAGAGTAAACAATAGTCAAAATCCCCAATACCCTTCACAACCAGAATCTTTCAAATCAGTGCACGGAAAATCACATATTCAGTGGATAATTCTGATTTTGGCATATTCCATAAACTGAATAATACTGATTTTGCTATTCCATATACTGGATAATACTTCATAATGCTGATTTCGTTATTCCATATACTGGATAATGCTGATTTTTCCGTTGGAATGTCCAATCCACAGTTTGCCATCAGGGAAGGCTTCAATAGCATGGGGTGTATAGCTACACTTGTGAAGGATGCATTTGGCTTTTCCCGATATCTTAAACATTTGAATGTTCCTGCTGTATCGGTCGCTCACAACGATGTTTCCTAGGACATCAAAGGCCACATCCCAGGGACTAAATGTGTCTTCATCTTCCGTCTGCGAATGCCTGAAGATCACCTCTCCATCCTTGCTGAGGACTACTAGCTCTCCAGTGAAATCCCCCGTCCAGTTAATGACTGCGATGTCCCCTGTCTGTTCATTTTCAGCGATGCGATAGGGGTAGCTGAAAATGTTGGACGACGT